AAATAAAGTTTGATTGATTGATGAAATGTGGTGACACAGACAGAGCTCCCTGGTTTATTAGGACCAAAATACATTATATATGACTTTAATCCAAGAGTGGGCAATTCTTTTTTCCATGGGGCCACATGAGAAACAAAAAATACTGTGGAGGGCCAAAATGCTTAACTCAATTCAGCATGATATGAATTGTATTTATTTATAAAAATCTGTAAATATCATTGTTTTGATGAGCTGCTCAGACTGGGAAGAGTTTATGTTCTGACTAAGCAATGAAAAAATGAGGCTGCCTTATAGAAAATGTCACAAAAACACCTCTAAAACAAAAGCAATGCAGCTTTAGTCCATGCATGAGGTAAAATTATAAAATATGTTTATTTTGTGATTCCAAATTACCTTAAAGGGGCCGGTCAGAGTCAACCAAAGGACCATATGTGGCCCTGATGCTGTATAACGTCCAGGTCTGATCTAATCAATGAATATGGAAGAGAATTTGTTTCATTCCATTTTTTATTTTAAATACAGCTGAATTTCTCACTTTGATTTTTTAACTCTGAAAAAAGATGTTTGAATTCTTTAAAAAATGTTCTAAAGCTGTATTGCTTTTATTTTAGAGGTGTTTTTTTAAATAACATTTTTTGTAAGACAACCTCACTTTTTCATTGCTTAGTCATAACATAAACTCTTATCAGTCTGTCCAGCTCATCTAAACAATGATATTTACTGCTTTTTATAAAGAAACACAATTCATATTATGCAGAATTGAGTTAAGCATTTTGGCACATTATTTTCTGTTTCTCATGTGGCCCCATGGAAAAAAGAATTGCCCGGCCCTGTTCTTACAATCACAAGATGGCCTCTTCAGCTACAACAACAGCAACAGAATCCCTCCTCTCTCTCTAGTCCGCTTTAAACCTGAATGATAACAGTTTTCCCCTTCACTTGAAAACCTTGAAATGCTTTCCAGTCCTATGTATTTTCCATCTCTGCAGTTTTACTACGTGGGCCGTGTTGTGTCAGATCCCAGGGTAATCATTACTCAACGTGAGCGCGCAGTGTCCTGAAGCTCCAGCTGTTGCACCATGACAGAGGAGCTGGATCACACTGATTTTATTTTCCACCCGCGTCCTCAGATGAACCAGGAGCGCGAGCTGTTTACGCTGTTTGTGAATGCTTGACATATTTGAGGAGGTGACCAATTTGAGTCCTGTTTCTTTATTTGGGAAAGATATTTTGAAAGTAGTAAGTATGGTTTGTGTATGTTTTTGTTGTAAGAGGTTTAAAACACAAAGCTATTTCTGAAGGGGAAAATGGCAGCGATTGGTTTAGCTTGGGAAAAAAAGCTCTATAGTTCAATAGAGGAGAAAAAGATATTGTTTTAGATGTGTTTAAAGCAGTGGTGTGTGGTCAGAGCAATCAAGGCAAACAGTGGTTGCCCAGTAAAACTTAAAATCATCACGTGTAATACTTTCAAATTAGATCCAAACAATCCTGTTTTCCCTTCACTTCTGTTGTTGTAGTTGTAGTGGTGATGCCCTTTACTACACTCTTCTGATCACTGAGCAAACTGCAACAACCGCGGTTCTGAGCGTCTCATTAACTCAGGGGTGTCAAACTCAAATTCCCAGAGGGCCAAAATGTAAAGTCCTGGACCAAACTAAATAGTTATTGAAGAAATTCAACCACATCTGCATGTTTTCTCTTCTTTCCAGATATGTAACGTTAAACCTTTCCTTATAAAATAAATGTTTAATAATAGTTTTGCTTAAACACTGAATCCAGAACAAGCAGAATATAAAATAATAACATTTTAAATAAATCATGTCTCTATAGTCTGTCTGTAGCCGGTGAGCAGCTCTAAAGGGCCGTTCACACCAAAGCGTCAAAAAACGCCTTGACGCCTCTATTTGGACGCCTTTGCATTTGAGTTTAGACGCCCCTGACGCGCATCTTTGACGCCGTGAACGAACGGGACAAAAATACTTGACACGCGTCCGTTGCCCTGGAAACAAGAGCCTGGTCCCGTTCTTTTCCTGAAACAATGTCAGACCAGACTGAGAGAGACTTTAGTGTTTTTATGACATAAAACATCAGCGGAGGAGATCGGGTTGACGACTGGGACGTATATATATTTATACTCCGCTAATAACACTGGATCAGTCCTCGTCTAGTCCTGGTCTAATCACGGTCTAGTCCAGGTCTATTCAGGGTCTAGTCCTTGTTTAGTCCCGGTCTAGTCCTGGTTTGGTCCCGGTCTAGTCTCGGTCTAGTCTCGGTCTACTCCCGGTCTAGTCCTCCGCTCATGTTTGTGGTTCTCGCTCTGGTTCTCGGGTCTTGCTTCCTGATAATAACGTCGCTGCGTCACTGGATACTCGTCCCTGATTGGTTGATCTGATGACGTCTGATGCGAAAAGTTCAGCATTTTCAACTTCGTCGATGCCAGATTCGCGAAAATGAGCCGCAAAAACGCAGGACGCTCTAGTCGCGCGTCCACATAGACTTTACATTGAAACTGGACGCTTTGACGCCTTGGTGTGAACGGCCCTAAATACAGATTTGATATGATCTCGCGGGTCAAATATAATTATATCGTGGGCAAAATTTGGCCCCCGGGCTTGAGTTTGACATGTCTGTATTAACTTGTGTTGGTTTGCCTTTCTACGGAGGCCTGGAGGCACATGTCGAGAGCGCGGCTTTCTACGTGAGCTTTTAAATAATCCTCAGAATACCTGAGTTCATTTTGTCTGTATCACCTTCTTGTTAGACACAATAAGTTATGAAAGGGATACCTGTGTTTGATGTTTGTAGATGAATTCAGAGAAACCAGATAAGTCACGGACGGGGTGATGTAATCTGCCATGTAAAATAGAATTAGAGTTTAACTAAACAGACTCAACTTTTACAAATTGTTTATTTCAGCTCAGTCGCCTTCTTCATCAAACTTTTAAATCCTCCGGTTTTAAATCCTCTGGTGGTTTTAGTCGGGCTTCAGCTGTGGTCTGGCCCTCTGCCTTCTTTGACCAGAAAATCACACAACTTCTGGTTACTTTTAGGAAACAAAATTGTGTATTCAGATCAGGGAATGAGATTAGGAATAACATTGTGAAGTTAGGGAACTCAAAGGGATGCAGTGGCGTGTCAAGACTTTTTTCACTGGGGTGGTACAGAGTTAGGGTGCCCTCAGTCAAGAAGCACTAGCATTTCAGCTTTTTGGTAAACATTTTCAGCTTTTACTATTTTAACCCTTCCAGACCTAAAGGCATTTTAGTACATTTATCCTCATCTGTATTTCTTTCTTAATTTGGCTATTAAAACTTTTTTTATTCAGTACAATCTGTTATTTCACAATCTGCTGCTGTAGTTGTGTCATATGGCTGTAATAAAAGCTAGAAATTTTTTGGACAAAAAAAAAATGCTTAATTTAGGGCCTTGGCGACAAAAATGCAAAATATCAAGTCTGTATGTAAACTCAAAATATCCTTATTGCCTCAAAACAAAACAAAAATGCAATGGCCTCATGACTTTCCTGGTGCCAGTCATGGAACCAGCTCGAGTCAGGTCCGGGCAAGCCCCGGCCTTTTAAAATGTCTGTCCATTCAAGTCAGTGGGTTGAGCTCAATGGCGCATGATCTCAGATTAGCCTAACCCGGCTAGGTACTTCCGGTGGCTGTGGGCCAAATGAGCATGCGCAGTAGTGCTGTTTTCACCCACAGGCGCACGTGAATGCACGCGAACACACACACGGAGCACGGGCTCATGTATCGTGATTGCTTTGATCAATCAGAGTGAGAGGACCCAGAGCGTAGCCAGAGCTAACAATTATAAAATGTTTTTTAAGAGAACTGAAAGATTTTGAGCTGAGAAAAAGTTCATAATCTAAAAATAGGTAAAAATCACCACAAAATCCAACATTTTTGAAAGTTGTAGTTCCCTGTCAGCCGAACATGAGTAGTTTGTGATTACATTGCCTCTATGAGAAAAATGTTGTCTCGGCCCATGGGATTTTTTTCTGCTGTAGCACCAGTGAGTGTCACTACGTCAACTGGAGGCAGATACAAGCAATAACACCCTCCAGTTATTTTAATAGATCCACGGGTCCAGGTCACAGAGCCACATCACTTCCTGCATTTCCATGGTCTTTATTACATTTGGATTTGTACATTTACACTGAACTAAACCTTTCAAATAAAAATAGCAAGGGATGCACAATTACTCAAACCAAGATGTGTAATTTTCCATTTATTTGAGAAATAACTGCACTTAGAGCGACTTTTTCAATTGTTACGAACACCGAAGCTCAGAGCATCGACCATTTTGACTCACTACACTTTTTGGCAAAGATTGGACCAATCAAAATGGATGGAGCGCATGCGTTTGGCAGAAAACAAGTTCCTATTGGACACTCGTTTTCTCTACGTCGTCACACAGTGTGTGTGTGATGTAGGATAATGCCAGAAATATGCTTGGAAAGCCAAAACTGTGAACTTTCCAAGTAAAAAAAGTAAGTTTCTACCTTTTATGGTTGGAAAGTTATGTGCAGTTATGTAAAACATGTCCGCCAGTATCATATATGATGCAGTCGATCTGAAAGGGCTAACCCTTTATTGTTGTGAAAATGCTATAATCACTGAAAACATCACTTTTTTTTACTAGTTTAAGTTTCATTTTTGACACCTCCTTTTGCTCTTCCGTGCTAAGTTACATCTCCTTCAGAGCTCTATCACAACACAATCAGCATACATCCTGCTAATGAAACTACTGCACATCGCATCAGGTTTGTGAAGTTGTAGTATATTGTTTTAATACATAAAATTAAAACAATATGAAATAAAATATATGTGATTACATTACAGTTACTAATTAAATACTTAACTACTGTGTGTGTGTGTGTGGATGTGGAATGTTCTAAGTACAGAAACATTAATAACTGTCTGTGACTACCTGTGGTTAAGAAAGCTGACGTGTTTTCATATAGTTTCACCATACTCAGTGCATGTCCTTACCTCCTGCCTGAAGGCCTTCCTGAAGCCCGTCATGGGGGTGGGTGCAAAGGCTCGCCCGGGAACACAGCTCACCACCACGGGCAGCCCCCCCGCACACGTCCCATTGGCCTTCACCAGCGGCGTCTGCTGTGTGCCCAGTTTACAGCTGGACAGGTGCGCCTCCGTGCCCGTGCAGTTCACCGCGTAGTCCCAGAACGTGGGCTTCCTCCTGCGCGCGAACATCCTGCACACAAGGGGGCGCGGATCAGTTAAACAAGAGCATATGTGTGAAGTTATGGAGGGTCATCTATGTTCATCTATCTTTGTTAGCCCTTAGCGACGAGGCTGTGCACATCTATCTCCAGTTCAGAGGTTTTGATGGAGCACTGTGATTAACCTCTGACCTCAGCCACATGTCTGCTCATGTACTGTACTCTCACTGAACATGTGACTTTATGAGGATACAGTTTATGAGGACACACTAGCACACATTATAGGTCAATTCAGTCTGTTATTGTGACGAAAAGGGTCCCAAAAAATAAGTCATGAGTGATTTTTGTCTGTTATTATAGTTTATATTTTGTCACTTGTGTGACAGGTGAGGCTGCTCAGTGTCACTACAAAACCAGCAACATAATGTAACTGCAGTTTGGAAAACAGGGTCAAAAGTCCTACACACTTCCTGTAAAGTGCCAGTGGAGTTTGGCTTAAAGAAGGGGTTCTCAAACTGTGGGTAAGGCTCCAAAAAAGGGACGCAGTGTTTCAGTGCAGTACAGTTTGCTTGTCTTATTTTAAGCTTAAAAACATTTATCAGATAAAATGGAGATAGATTTTTATGCTGTATATGTTCCCCAAATAACTGTAAAATACAAATAAATGACTAAAATAACAAAGATGGTCTTGATTTGGTCTTGAGGGGCCGTGATCTTGGTCTTGTCTTGGTCTTGACCTTTAAAAGTCTTGGTCTTGTTTCGGTCTTGGTCTTGTCTCAGTCTCGGGACCCTGTGGTCTCGGCCTGGTCTTGGTCTTGATGAGTGCGGTCTTCACTACAACAACATTCTATTTTTACTGCATGCGTGCGACAAAAACAAAATCACTTTCGCTATGAAGTTTTAACTCTTTGATACAACTGTAAAATTGAAGCTTACTTGTATTTCCTTCTTTTAAACTTGGTGGTTAAGTAACAGTGCAACAAAACAGCACCATATTCAGAGCTTTTATGCATCTAGGATATGTGTCTCTGCATGTTTCCACTTTCGATGCTTCGCTGCCTCTCTTCTGGTTCTCCATAATTTTTAAACTTTGTGCTAACAATGCCGGACGACAAAAGTTACAAATGTAACTACGGTTCTATGAATCCCAGATGACTACCAGAGGGCAGTGATGAAAGAACTGAACTAAGACCCATCTCTCCATTCTTAAGGAAAACTGGAGTACATGTAGAAAACCCCCAGAACAACATGGGAGAAGATGTAAACTCTAAACAGGCAGGCTCCACTCACAGCACGAGTCAAACCTGGGAACCTCTTGCTTATTTTTCCAACCACTGTTCTCTACGTTTTACACCAGAAAAGAGGAAATTCCAAATGGTACGACCTAATTCTTTATTCGTGAATTTCTGGGACAGGTTTAAGCCATACAACCACTAAAGAGAGAATAAAAGGAAAAGTTAAATGTGTAAATGATGCGGTATTGAGTGCAAGCCCAGCCTCCAGCCTTCCTAACCTCCACACGCTCAGATTTAAGACGCTGTGGACGTGTTGAGCCCAGTCAGGTCTATGCGTGATCGCTCCTGACCATAATGACACTCTGCACTCAAATAATCTGACCCAAACACAGCTGCATTTCCAATAACATTTCTGAAGAGTTATCCAAAACGTTTGACTCTAAATCGCACTTCATGGTTTGGGTTTGTTAATTCTCACTTGTACATTTCCGTCACCACTTTTACATCAACTTTGGGTTCAGTAAATTATGACGGTGGTAAGAATGTTCAGTTAATTACTATGGAAAATACATCAGTAGTCATTTGGAGTACTTTTAATCATAACCTTGAGTAGTTTATGTACAATAACTTCAAATAATGTATGTGTCTACAGAATACACAAAAGCATAAAGGGCTGGGGAAAAAATGACAAGTTCAAAAGATACATTTTTGGAAGTTGATTAAACAGTAGTGTCACAATACTAACATCCAGAGGTGGGGACTTGCAGGTCGTGACTTGGGCTCGAGTCAGACTTGAGTCACTATTTTTAGGACATGAGACTTGAGTTGATCAAATGGACTAAGATTTAGAACTCGATTTGAACTTGAAGATCAGTGACTTGGGGCTTGACTCGGTCTTGAAGCCTGTGACTTGAAGACTCGATTCTTCTCCTAAAAATATATATGTTTTGAGGAAATACTTTTCTCTTTACAGTTGATAAATGCAGTGTTTAATTTTATAGGAACAAACTGGAACATGTCCATCCATAAAAAATAATTTCTACAACTCTTATATAAATACTTCTATACAAATATACCATGACTTTTTATGTACAATTTAGTTTAAAATTCATATAAAGTGCAAAAATCTAAGTTCTTTGGTTTAAAGACTTGAAATGACTTGAAGCTCAAAGCAGATGATTTGGACTTGACTTGGACTTATGGGCCAGCAGTGTTGGGAAGGTGACTTTTCAAATGTATTCCCCTACAGATTACAGATTACATACTCCAAAATGTAGTTTGTAACGTAATCCATTAAATTACTTAAAGTGAGTAATGTAATCTGAATACTTTGGATTACTTGATTTGCTGTAGAGAAGCAAAGACTCAGATATCGTAACATAAGATGTTTTATCTGCTAAAAGAAAATAAAAGCCCAGACTTTACTGAACCAGATAAAAAATATTATTGATAGAAGACGAGGAGACACGTCCACACAGCAGGATTTAGTCCTGTTTTAATCCTGTTTTAGTCCTGGTTTACACCTGGTTTAGATCTAGTTTGGATCTAGTTTAGACCTGGTTTTAGTCTTGGTTTAGACCTGGTTTAGAGCTGGTTTAGTCTTGGTTTAATCTTGGTTTAGACCTGGGTTAGATCTAGTGTAGACCTAGTTTAGACCTGATTTATATCTAGTTTATACCTGGTTTAGACCTGGTTTAGACCTGGTTTAGATCTAGTTTAGACCTGGTTTATATCTAGTTTAGACCTAGTTTAGATCTAGTTTAGACCTGGTTTAGTCCTGGTTTTAGTCCTTATTTAGTCCTGGTTTAGCCCAAAATGTGAAAACGGGAAAATACCGCCATGTAATCCATTTATTTTAACAAAGTAATTGTAATGTAATTACATGGAATGGAATGGAAAATGGAAACAGTAACTGTAACTGAATACAGTTATTCATAATTTGTACTCTGATTACATAACTCCAGTACATGTAATCTGTTACTCCCCAACACTGTGGGCCAGTGACTCTAGACTCGACTTGGACTTGTCTGTATTTGACTTGGGACTTGACTCGGACTTGAGGTCAAAGACTGGAGAGTCATTTGAGGCTTGCAAAATAACGACTTGGTCCCACCTCTACTTACATTTAAAACTCGATTTCAGGACCATGATGACAATAAAGCTTTCCCTCAGTGGTCCAGTAGATTCCACAGGAGTATACTAGTCTATGTGCTCTTATACTTGTTCTGATTCAGCTCAAGATCATTCTAAAGATATTCAGGTATTGATTCCTGCTCAAATAAGTATCTACTTTCGATACTAGTTTTAGCATCGAAAAGTAAAGGTTCTTTATTACATAAAACAGATTTTTGTGAGCTTTTAGTCATGTTATAATGTTAGTGATGAGGAAACTACATTAGAACAGATCAGAAAACAATATGGGCCTTTTAAAAGTTTCACTGTGTAACTTTTCTGGCAGAGGGTTCACTTCACTACCTGTTATTGTTCAGGTTTGTGGAGAGGCGAGTCTGTTCAGTGTATTGTTGGGCAAAAAACACCTGAAATACAATGCTTAAAAGATCTTATGTGACGTATCTTCTACCAGTAAAGTCATTTATTCATTTTATGTGTTTTCTAATAATTTGTCACATTGTACTTTCGTTATGCAGATTTTACAGCTCATTAAGTTTTATTATTCATATTATGGGCCTATTGTTGGGCCATGGGTGGAGTACACACTGGATAATAGCCATTTAGTCACAGTGGTCTCTGTAGTATTTGATTAAAACCAGATTTTGTTTTCCTGTGTACAATTTGTGGTTAACATGTTGGGCCGATATCCTGCTTAAAGATGTATTGTGTAACTTTTCTGGCGGAGGGTCAATCAAATGCTGGAGATGTTGGAGATGTTATTGCTTTGTCTGGAATGTTTATGGTATTAAACCTTTCTATCTTCACGGAGACCAAACCAGACCAAGTTACAGGTCGGATCAGTCAGAACGTGTTTTTCAAAGTATTTTTGAGTTATAAAACCACCTGGAATACTGGCCACGTTACATTCTCCTTCGATTTTACATGGAAATAATAATTCCAAATTGAGGTTTTACATGGAAAACACGTTAAATCACCTTTATTTTCAACGTCTGGGGGTGGGGGAGAGTTCTGATTGGACAGAGACATGAACTTATTTACATTAGAAAGAAAACACACACTTCAGCTGCTAAAGGCTTTTCTGTCATCTCGGTTTATCGTTACGCCTCGGACACAAACACGATCCAAACTTTTCCTGCAGTGGTTCTGATAATAATTTCGCAGCAGCTGGAGGATTCTCTCATCACGCTTTACGTCTGTCAGCTGAAGAGGAGAAGGGAAGAGTGTTGGAGAAGGAGGAAGAAGACAAACTGAGTCAACGGCTGCTCTACCTCAGCCCACTCCCACATCCCGCTCACAAATCCAAAGAGACGTGGAGGAAAGTCCGAAGCCAGGACTGGTGGAGCTGGATCGTCTGGGTCGCGTCAGAAGGGCGACTCAACGAGCATTGACCGTATTTTCCGGGATATTAGTCGCTCTGGATTATAAGGAGCACTGTCATTAAATGGTCTATTTTCAAACTTTTTTCACAAATAAACCGCACCGGACTTTAAACGGAACACAACAGTTAGATGGGTCAGTGGGACTTTGTTTGGCCATGATGATGCATACCTCGATACAGTGAGCTTACGATATGATACAATATATTTCAAATTGATTCGATACGGTTCAATAAAACACAGTAGCAGGCTTCATCTACATCCATCTGGACGCTGTGTTTACTGTTGTGCTGTTCCACAAAAGGAACACAGACAGGTGCTTGAGTTTGACGTCATGGCTTCACAGCTCACAGCTGATTGGCCGGTGCGCTGTCTACAACTTCTGGGGTTCTTATAAACTGTCTAAAGCAGGGGTGTCCAAACTTTTTTCATCAAGGGCCATATCTTGAAACACAGATGAAGCAGAGGGCTGATCGAGGACCATAGACTGATGCTCAGTACAGTGAATAATTGAAATATGTGCAGGTTTAACACATTAGAATGAGCCATCAGTCTTTATTCCTGCTAAGATCCTTAAAACCAGACACAAAATACTAAATATTGGCATTATCAAGGCAGATTGTCAAAAAACTTGCAGTAAAAAGTACATTTTTCATTGATGCAAGGTAATTTGGGCCAATGCTCCTGGAAGCCTGAGGGCCAAAAAAAAATTGTTAGAGGGTCGCATTTGGCCCACAGGCCATAGTTTGGACATGCCTGGTCTAAAGTATTTTGATTCCTGAGTCGCTGGAAAGAAATATAATTGGGTGAAGGCACTAGGTGGTGCCAGACTGGCTATCTGTGTACATCAGGGGGTGCTAATGGTAATTTCATTGTTTGTTTACTTCATTCAAGGACAACAAATGAGTGGTGGAAGGTAACAAAGTAAAAGTAGTAAAATACTTAAGTACTTAAGTTAACTTAAAATGTTATGTGTATTTTATTTACTGTATTTTCTGCACTATTTGTCGCTCTGGATTATAAGGCGCACTGTCATTAAATGGTCCATTTTCAAACTTTTTTCACAAATAAACCGCACCAGACTTTAAAGGAAACACAACAGTGTGATGGGTGAGTGGTTTTGTTTGTTTGTTCGTTCACGGTGACTCTGGGCTTTGTTCAGTTGTGGCGTGTAGGGAGGGTGCTGTCTGGAAAATGATTCTGAATCATTTTCATTAGGAATTAAGTGTTTCCATGGTCTTTTTGAAGCAGAATTAATTTTAGTTCAGAATTAAATTATTTTTATTCAGAATTAAATCTCTCATGTAAACGTGGCGACTGTGGATCATGCGGACAGTGCAATCATATAGCTACAGAAACAAGTAGGTGACGAACTGCCAACTAGAAAGTTACATCATACTGCGTCTTTAACTGACTTTTATAACCATTATAATCGTATCTTCTTCAAAAACTGGAGTGTTTTGTTTCAGTTGTGCAAGTCTCAGTAATCCTTCACATGTAGACTCCTCTGCTCTAGGCCACCCTGGCGGATTGTAATCCATGTAGTTCTAGATATCTATATTCTAGAGTACTCGAAATTGCCCTCTCAAATTGCAGTTTAGCTCTTTTTTGACCGAGCCCTGGGGTTTGAACATGGCTGCCAGTTAGAATGAATGGGCTGAGCTCCGTGGTGCCCTGTCATTGCCCAGTTTGGAACCTTACCCGATTTGCCCAAACCCGTTTTACTCAGACGCCAAACTTTGCGAGAATAAAAATATGTCTATGTCATGTTTTATAAAAGGTACACTGTGTAACTTTTTGATTAGGGGTCTGTCACCTGCTTGTTTCTATGGAAAGGCCATTGCTCTGCCTGGAATGTTCCACAGTATGAAACAGCTTACTTGACATTTATTCAATTGCAGGTGGTTTTACAGCTCAAAATACCTACTAAAACAGCATTCTGACTGTGAGCGCGGTCGCCTCTCCACAGATCTGACCTGTAACTTGGTTTGATTACCTGATTTAGCATCGTTTTCAATCTGAACACGCTCAGATATGGCACAAGCGCTGAAATTGCAACAGTAACCAAACTTAGGACCAATGTCATTTTAGAGATTTGTTTGGTCAGATGTACTCTTTTTTCCCATTAAAGTTTATTGCTCATTTGGACCAAACACCAGGGACTCTTTTTGAACATGGTGGCGAATTTTTTGATCCAATGTGGCTGACTTCCTATTCGTCATAGAGGCATGCTCCGATTCATCTTTTGGCTTGTCTCATTGTTCTCTATCACTGTCCTGAATTTTGTTTCCGCGCTCCGAAATATGCTTTTCAGCTGCCCATAGAGTTTCAGTTTTTGCAATTTCCAGAGGGCACTGCTGAGTGGGTCACTTTGGGCAATGTCGTGATGAGTGGGGTCACTTTGGGCAATGTCGTGATGCCCATTTTATCAAATTTTTCACCAGACCGGTCAATCTGATACCCAGTTTGGGAACTTTTTGTCAACATTCAGGCCCTGAAAATCACAACCGTTTGCAAAATAAAAATGTTTGAAAATAATAAAAAGAAACTGAGGAAGAACAATACCCCTCACCAGTAACAAAGTCAACGGCGAGGAGTATTGGGATATTGCCAATAAACAATCTACAGTTACTATGTTACTGGCTCAGGTCAATAATAACAAAACATGAAAAAATCCTCAAGGCAATGAACTTTATCACTAAGCCATCTTCTTGTAAGAGACTTCTTTCCAGCAGCCAATAGTATATTATAAATATATTTTACCTTATACCAAGGTAAAGTGTCTCAAAGTTGTGCAGTAAAGTAATAGAGAGAACTTCTTCAATACTGCTCCAAACTGTAAAAGTTCTGGGCATTCCCAAAAAATGTGATAATGGGTCATATGTACTCTTGGAATATAAACTGTTTTACTGATAAATACTTGCTCAAAGTCTGTGAAAATAAACGTTAGAAAACAGAGTGGAGTGCAGCAAAGTCTGACTTCATAAGCAAAACAGCTAACTTTTCAATTACTGCTGTAGGAAGTAAAATAGACTCTTATGAGCTTTAAGCTGTGTTACAATGTTGTTACTTCATCAAAAACAGACCTGGAATTGTGTTTTATTTCATGCACAATCATTTAAGCAACCCTGCATTATTAGTCTGTCTACATCTCCAAAGCTCAAAACGCTCTGTTCCACCTTGTGATGTCATGAAGTGGTCTTTTTTAAGTTCTCAGCAACGTTTTATCTTTAATTCAGCAGAGATTCAGCAATTCCAGAGCTGAAATTATCCAAATGATTCTACTGAAGATGCATGGAGTTTAAAAACGCAGTGCAGCCTAAATGTGCAGGGTTTGTGTGTTAAACGTGTGAATGAAAAAAAACACAACTCCTAATATGTTTGTGATGAAGAAACAACTTTATAACTTAGACACATCAGAAAATAGTGTAATATGGGCCCTTTAAGAAGAGCAATAAATGTGGCCAGAGCATCAGAACATATAATAAAAATGTTTAAAAGAGTTTAAATGGTTAAATTGGGTTTGTTTGAGCAAACCAATCTGTGTTTTGGTGTTTCAACTGGTCAAAAATACCTTGAAAAACCTGTATTCTACTGTGACTGGGCTCGTCTCTGATATAATGACCTTAAACTGTAAACTTTTGTGTTACTGACTTGTATACTCTGGCGTTGTACTTCCTCTCCCCTGGGAAACCGAACATGCCACAGATCACACGGCTGTTGTGTTGAGTCCACTCAGCGTCGCAGATCTGCTTCCAGCGGCCGCCATCTTTGACCTCCACGTAACCCTCGGTGACGGGCACCCTCTTCCTGTAGGACGACAGGATGGCTCGGATACGCACGTCCTCCACCTGGATGTCAAGGCTCTGCGGAGAATACAAAGACCTTTACTGTAAACTGGGACTTAAAGTACATATGACAGGTGATCATTCTCAAATTTGTATAATATAAATAATAGTTCTACACCAATTAAGAAGCAATTTGTGAAGAAAAGTTGAAAAAGTTGAAGTAAAGAGTTCTATTTTAGAGTGTTCCATACTGCTGACTAGCCAGGCTGGTGCCACCTAGTGCCTTCACTCTATTTCATTTCTCTCAAGCGACTAGGTCAGAAATCAGAATACACTAGACAGTTTGCAAGAACCCTGGAAGTTGTAGACCATGCACCGGCCAATCAGCTGTGAGCTGTGAAGCCACGACGTCAAACTCGTCGCGTTTGTCTGTGTTCCTTTTGTGGAACAACACAACAGTAAACAAAGTGTCGAGATGGATGTAGACAAAGACAGACATTCTGTGTTGGCAACGATTCTTAAGATCGAGGATTTAAAGCCAGAACACAGAGAATGTTTGGCGAGTTAAAAGTGTCCGTGTCATGTTTCAATCTCAGAATTACTCTGAAGCATGTCACAGTCTATTTGAGCGAAGTGGTGTGTTGGCCACAACCAACCTGAGTTGCGATAGCAGACTGCATACGCTCTCCTCCTTTGGACTTCCTTTGTCAAATACAAACTTTGCATTTTTTATTGCACCTTTAATTCACAAGTTCACCTCGCAGAAACAAAAATGATGGTTGACAGACATGTTCACTCTCTGCTTTGTTTGCTGCTGTGCTGGTAATTACTTGGACACCGTAGAGTGTTCCGGGGCATTACATACATCACCATCAAATAGCAGCGATTGGTTAAATAAAAAAAGTACCCGCCTACCGTCGAGTGAACAAATGCTAATGGTCAGATGGTCTAAAGATCAGACGGTTTCCACAAATTGAAACTGCCTGATGAATCAGGCTAACTGCTGACATCACACTGGGAGAAGTCTGTTTGACAAATGAAATAAAAATGTAAACCTAAAAAAATGGCCAAATTGGGGGAAAAAAAATATCTTTAGTAATATCTTAAATAAATACATGTGTTTTTTGTGAAGTAGTCTAACCTGTCATAGGCAGTTATCTACTGTATTTTCCGGGCTATTAGGCCTCTGGATTATATGGCGCACTGTCATTAAATGGTCTATTTTTGAACTTTTTTCACAAATAAACCACACTGGATTTTAAACGAAACACAACAGTTGGATGGGTCAGTCAGACATGGTTGTTTTTTGATGTGGTTAGAAGCTCAAGAGCACGTCTAATAGCCTGGAAAATACGGTACCTAAACTCTGCTCACAACCATATTTCAAACAGAAGAGTAGAACAGAATAATGAGTTCACGTGGTCCTTATTTCTAACTTTATCCTACACAAATCCAAAGCATTTACTTGAGGCTATAGAACCTATATAGTAAAAACAATAACAAACTTCTACTTTTGAAACACAGACTCTCATGAGCACTGTGAGCCTGTAGTTTTGCGAATGTAACCTTCAGACTCCACGAGGAAACTCTACTCTTCAACAAAACCCCAAATTCCTGCCCTTTTCACAAAATGTCAACAGTTCAGTGTGAATTACAAACAGATGCTAAGAGTGAGCTTCAGCATCTGCAGCTCACATACGGCTAATATGAGGCCAGTGTGAACGAAGGGCCCCGTCTCATTTGCACAGCTCAAACTTTGGCCACTTTCTACAGCCTCCCTCAGCTTGGACCAAAATATTCAACAACTACTTTTATATCAAGTTTTCTCAAGGCTTTGTGGGTAATAAGGGATTTCTCCTGTGGTAAATTCTGGGCTCACAGAAATAGGCATGAACTGGATGATTCAATGAAGCAACTACTGCTGATTTACAGTAAAAAAAATAAAAGAGAAGGCCATGTTCTAGTGTTTGAGTTAAGATTATTAGTTTAAGATTAGTTAAGATTAGTTATTTTTATCAAAATACAGGTTTAGGTTTGCAGAATTACACTGGACTGGATATTAACTGCTTATGAAGTGAAATCATAGACTGTATAATAAGTGGATTAAGTGAGTTTGACGTCACCCACAGTGTTCAGCTCCACTTCAATGAAGCTCGTGATTCTCACGGTAACAGGAGCAGATTTGGAGCCAGGCTCCTTATGAATTATTATGAATTTAGAAATAGGAATTAAGATTTTTTGAAACTAAAAAATCAGCAAAATAAAAACAGCGGATCATGTAGAGAGGGTTATTACAAACAATTTAAGACCAACATAACAAGGCTCACGGGAGCAGTCACAGAGAGAGGGACCCCAGAGTCAGAAGGAAGAGCTGCATGGGAACTTCCTGTTTGGAACATGATGACTGGCACGTTAGCTATGTCCATTTATATATTTATATATACAGTCTGAGTGAAAGTGTACTTGCCTGTATGCATGGTTATTCAGCCATTAGTTATAATGTGACTAAAAGCATATACAGGGCTTGACATTAAGCATTTACAAGTACTTGCCCGGGCAAGTGGCTATAATTTTTTTACTTGTCCGACACCCAGACTTACTTGCCCGGAAAAACAAAATGGTGCTCAGTTAATTATATAATTTTAAACATGTGCACAGGCTAGTGTCGTAGTACTCTAGACCTTTTTTTAGGGCCTGGCTCAGCACAACATGCTCCTGGGGCAGATCTGTGTCGATTGATTGATTGATAGCATTTATATAGCGTTTTTCAAGATACCCAAAGCGCTTTACAGTTCATTATTCATTCACTTCACACTCAGTGGTGGTAAACTACTACTGTAGCCACAGCTGCCCTGGGGCAGACTGACGGAAGCGAGGCTGCCAATCTGAGCCATCAGCCCCTCCGACCACCACCATCACTCACACTCACACCTCTTTCATACTAGGCAATGCAGGTGAAGTGTCTTGTCTAAGGACACAACGACCCACTGTGGCACCTGGAATTCCTAGCGGTTTCCCATTCAAGTACTACCCAGGCCCAGCCTGCTTAGCTTCTGAGATCTGACGGGATCAGGCTTTTACAAGCCGGTATGGCCACAGTGTCCTGTGAAAGAGCCCATGTCCAGAAATACTGTTAATTAGTGCTTTAAAATTTGCTTTTGAAATCCTCGCGTTTGCCCTGGTCAGCCTGTACAGAAGGTGAATACAAGTGTGTTCAGCTGTTAGGGCCTGGCTTGACTGCACGTACATTTCGCTCTATGCGAGCGTAAAAACTGCAACTTTTGGACGTTTAACTTTTAGAATGCATGGAAAGTGAATGAGGACGGCTTCACTGCAGGTGCTAGACGCACGTATGGAGCAACGTGTCCTGCACGCGTAGATTTCAGAAAATAGGATCCATCCTATTTTTTTGACACTCTACACGTATCCCCATCAAAAATACACAGAGCATGAATCTTTGGTTGTATTTGTGCCTTTACCGTCAGGACAACGTGCTCCTGGGGCAGATCTGTGTCATGTAAAAGGGCCCAGGTCCAGGAAAGACTGTTAATAAGAGCTTTAAAAATTTACTTTTTTAAATCATGGCTTTTGCCGTGGTCAGCCTGTACAGAAGGTAAATACAAGTGTGTTCAGCTGTTAGTTTAACTGTAGACCTGATACAAGCGGCTAAACGCGCCCAGTCAAATTTGATCGTCTTTCTCATTGAGAAACACAGAGTCAGAGCTGCGCGTGTACTTCCTGCTGCAAGCTGCCGGTAGAACCGCCTTTGCGTTGACGCACGGCTGTGGTTTCGCGAGGTTACACGAGTTACTGGTCTCGTCTCGGACTCGACCACGTTTGGACTCGGTCTTGAAGGCGCTTGGACTCGGTCTTGTCTCGGACTCGAGGTCTGACTTTAGACAGGTGCGATCATATTTCATTACGGCCACTGCTCTCAGCAATAAACTTGTACCGGTGTGCGGGGGCGTGCGGGGTGTCTCGCTGCAGCCTGTGCGTTTGTGTGGAGCGCCCCCAGCGCGCGTGCCTTGTCCGCAACAGCGTGTACCTCTCGTACCAGAATGTATCACAGGGCAGGATAAACTTTTTAAAACATTCTACCTGCCCATCTGCCTCACGTCATCTGCTCCTTCTTTTCGCGCTCTCGCTCCTCCCTGCATATAGCACAAACGGGCTCCCTCTTCAATGCCCACAGATTAGAAAAATAATACTAAAACGAATCCAAATTTATGTTACATTGTTGGCACAAAGCAGCACTACTGCTACATGTGGTTGAAGGTTTGCCTAATAAAAGTGCTCAAAATGCATCTATGTTTGTCACGACATGCGTTTGGTAAATGTGGTAAATCCCACTGCAAAACCAGCAAGTGAATGTAACTCCAGTTAGAAACTTGACAAAACGGGTTTAAAAATCCTACCCACTGCATTCACTTTGAAGCAGTTTTGTGTAAAATACCAATGGAAGTTTTCTTAAAGAAAGGGTTCTCAAACTGTGGGTGAGAGTCTAAAAAAGGGCAGTGTTCAGTACAGTACAGTTTGCTTGTCTTAATTTAATCTTAAATTAACATTTATCAGATAAAATGGAGATAGATTTCTAAAAACATTGATATATATGTGCCAAAATAACTGTAAAATCCAAATAAATGTCAAAAATGACAAAGATGGTCATGATTTGGTCTCGATGGGCTGTGGTCTTGGTCTCGACCCTCAGAGGTCTTGGTCTTGTCCTGGTCTCAGGACCCTGAGGTCTCGGACAGGTCTTGGCCTCAGTTAACGCAGTCTTGACTAGAACTCTAGCACAGGCATATAAAAACTTTTTTTCATATGAATACCAACATAACATGACCACAATGACTAAATGGTTTGAGAGAGTGGGGCAGAATCTCAAATATATAAAACAAGTTTAAATCATTTCATACTACATGAAAACGATTATCATTGGTCTTCTCATTAAATTGTTCTCTCTTGTATCCACTCAGAGATCTAAGAGTGCCTCAACGTGTCTCAGGTTGTCAGACCCATATGGGCAGGTGACAACTAGAACTAATGTGATTATAGATAAATATGACAGAACATTCTAT